GCCGAACGACCAGCTTGAAGCCTCCGGGGTGCACACCATTGGCCCTGGCGGGGGGGCCCAGACGCTTCCGCCCAAATCTTGACCAACCCCAGCAATATCTTCTTGGATCCATAAGCTTTCCCTTGCCTCAATATCGCCGTGACTAGCTTCACGTTCGCTACGTTCAGATCACGCATACCATTTGTCGGGTCCGCGAATCATTGAGGCTCCAAAGGTCACCGACCCGGTACTGCTAAAGCAGCAGAAGCCACCCGGGATTCAGCGGAGCAAGACGCCCACGATTTTGACAACGATGAACGTCTGCTAAAGCGCTGCATGATTGGTTGACTGGTAAATAGTCAGTCGACCCCTTCCGAGCAATGCCACTGTCGGGGTATTCGATGGAGGGTTCCTGATTCAATGATGCACAAAAGCAACTTGGACTTACCAGGTGGGCATCAAGGCATGGTTGGGCACGCATATTTCGCACGTAGCGCGCGTCCCCTCATCGTATCGGCCGTCGGTGTTTGCTTGTCCAATTTGTGCCCAACCCGGCCTGTTGTCACCGCTTCTTCTCCCGCTAGGTACAACCCTGCACAAATCATCCCATCCGGTACCGAAAAGCTACTCCGACCTTTCGGGCAACAATCCTCCAGCCCAGCAAAGGAAAAGTTTCTGTCACAGCCCAATCGGTGCCCTACTCGACACAACTGGCTCCGTCCTCCGTCAGGAGTTGGCACGTCCAATGGCTTCCACGCGTGAGCCTACACAGGCCGGCCATAAGATTTGTCGTCCTTCTGGGGTCTTCCTTGACTGAGGGGCCAACTGTCAAAAATTCGACCTGGCATCGCGCGAAAAATAGAGGGGGACACGAAGAGCACCAGCAATCAAAGGGCACGCTGATCTCCCTCGTCACTCGCGTGTCGTGCCCACGATCCACGCTCGACAAGCTAGGGATGGATGCCAACTTGTCCTGGGGCTCCCACCGTCGACCAATCTATTCCAGGACGCCCGACAGATGAACCTTCTGGACTACAGCGCTTGGCAGTCACGTATCCTCCAGCCCATGCGGCAGCCGTCCCGCTTGAAACCAGAGACGTCTCCATGAGTCCATGGTGTTGGTCATTGGGGCGAATGCAAATCTTTACTCGAGTCTCGCCGGCCTGCGTCTGTCCTGGTCCCTGTCCTCCCTTCGCCTCGACTTCCCAACGGACCACATCTTTTTGCTGTCTTGACCAGGATCAACCATTGTCGCCGCTCCAGTACAACGCCCCACGAGGAAGGACATCGCAAGCAGACATAAATGCCTCCATTCCGAACTTAATCATCCACTGTCAGGATCCTGCCCGCTCCCCCATCCTCGTCCATCCCAGGAGCTTGTTGGTTTCTTCTTTCCCATTTTGCGCCAGCAAGATCAGACATCTCCCACTAACCCCCTAGTGTCTTTCACGTCAAGCCATTCCCGATCATCTTATAAGTCATTTAAGGTGTCTTCGTGGAGACTGGTCGTTTCTTGGACCGATCACCTGCTTGCCCCCCATCACGCACACCGCCCTTGCAACGACCCGGAGTTCTTCAAGGGTCCCATCCTGGAACAAGACCATTTTTGTTATCGTGGATTCCCTTGTGTTTGAGGAGACAACCTGCCGCATTTTCCCAGGAATACTTGGCCGAAGATCACAGCCCAAAGGACTCTTTTTTGGACACCCAGGGCTGACCTGCCCGCCCAAGGACTATTCATATTTCACGTGGCTTCCATCTCAGGACACTTTGGACATTTCCAAAAATTTTGCTGCCTGATTTCTTTTCTCTTTACCGTTATGCCCCCGGAAGATATGGCCCAGCCGGATTTTGCATACAGACCATCAGCCATGTCCAACGGACCGTGGAACTCGACGCGGAGGTACGGACCGCTCTCCTAATTTCCAAACAATGCCCGAGGAGGGGTGACTGACCGCTGAGAAAAGTTCAATGTACAACGATACATTCCCGCCTGCCGGAGGATTTGATACCAACTACTACCGTTCATCGAGGTAAGAACCAGACGTCATTGTTCATGATGTATTCCCACAAAGGAGCAAACGAGTAACACCGTCCCTTTCAAGCGTGTCCACGTACTCGCCAGGAGCTAGTAACTACAATTTGCCGATCGGAACCAATCCTCATGCTGTTGCCGCTGCCGCTGCCCCGGCGTACGGATCGCGCCCAGCTTCTGGCACATACGGCACCAGTGGTGCCGCCGGCTACGGGTCGTACAAGAGTACGAACTCTCAATCATGGGATCACCAGGAAAGATACTCACCGACGGACTCGGTCGACGACATTATTGCATCCCCGAACCTTTCTGATTATTCACTCGAGAACGGGGCTGGCACCACTCCCCCGAGTAAGAGCAAGGTGAATGGCAAGGGTCGGCCACAACGTCGACCTTCTAACCGCGACGAATTCGACGGCCCGCATCAGTTTCTCGCTCGCCCGCCGCCAGAATACATTGCCATGCAAGAACGCGAACTGCCCCATCTCCCTACCAACCTCCACGTTCAAGAGCAGGACTTGGTGCTCACCCAAGTCAACGACAGGCTCTCTCAGTGCGCGTACGACTTCGTGGCCAAATATCAGTTCCCCATTCCTTTGACACAGGACATGCGACCTGTCGAGCGACCTCAGGACCGAGAATGGACAGAATGGGTTTACCTCCTGAAGCGCCTGGCTACGAAGCGCCGCATCCCGGCGCGGGTACTCTACAACGGCCAGATTAAGCAGTTTGTCACGATTCTCGAGAATTCATTGGAAATGCGACATGCGGCCAAGCACCAGAGTCGCCCATTAAAGGACGACCGCAACATTTTACAGCTCATTTCGGCGGGCATCCAGGTAGCCAAGATCCTCAAGGACGCGAGCGCCATGGACTACCTCGACCGACTATACGTTTCTACGGAGAAGCAAATTCAAGATCGCGCTGCACAGCGGTTCAGAAGCTAGTGTGCTTCCATGCTACCTCCTACCATATACTCGCCCAGGCCGAAGTTGACAACCTCGCCGTGCGCAGCAAACCACGGCGAGTGTCTCGACGCTGGCGGCCAACGTGGCACTTTGTTTACGACATTTTACGGACCTTACGAACTGAAAGTTATTGCAGAAGGGCGGAATCCACCTCATTCTTTAGAAGAAGAGAAGAAGAGTGTAAATGATTCCACGATACGGAACCGGGACGTCATCAGGACGACAGCGCCCTCCAAAGGCACGACGCAGGAGAACACACCTACAGGCTCTAGCTTAGCTCAACACTCCACCTCTCGGCAAAGCGAGTTGCGTCTTGTTTGTTGTTTTTGAATCTGATTTTTGTACGAGAAATGGTAATGGCGCTCCATTGTGGGCAGAAAAACCTCGCTTTACTTCTGCGGCCTCCAGGGACTCTCGACTGAACTGCCTCTTTACACACGCACACGACACACACACTTACATACATACCTTTACTTGACCCTTTACGGTTTGGTTTCGCAAGCAAAAAAGGGCATGAGCATGCTACAGGGAAAGCGGTGGGCGCTACAGGTTCATCAGGAAAGGGCGGAAACCTCTTTGTACATTGGCCCTGTTATTTTGGTGGCTTGCTATTCGTTTCTGCACTGCCACGGCGTGGTTTGGGGGCCTGGAGTTGTTTCAATGGGTCATATCTTTTTTTTGACAGACACCCTTCACTTATACTGGGCTACCGGATGGCTGTTTTGACAACGTTTGTTTTGCGCTTGTGCGTATTGTTCGTCTCTGTTTGTGCGGTTCACGAGAGAGAGAGAGCAATTTGGACATATCCCTACTATACTAGTGCTGTTTTCTTTTCTACTCACTTGATTTGGGCGGCTTAGATGAGCCTTTGGCAGTTTGATATCCTATAGCCCGTGGCTGGGCGCGCTCTCTCAGCGCCAGAAATCTACGCATTGTCCTTCAAATGTGCCGGTATCCAGTTCGTAAACGTCATGACTTGAAGCGCTCTGTTCGTCGCACGGCTCCTGACTCCTGCCATCAAGTAGGGGACGGGGGTTGCTCACGCGTCTTCCCTGCGCGAGTTCCAGGAGCCAAAGTTACGCCATCTGGCTTGTTAACCCGGCATGATGGCAGGACAGGTGTGGCAGGAACCCAAGTATCCGTCGCCTCTGCCCCTGTCCTATCGGTGCGACTTTGTTACCCCCCCACACCCGGCGGCGCTTGGGTTGGGCTGAAATGAACGGTGATCATCAGCCGATGGGGTTCCTGCTTGCGTGCCTGACGGAGTGACTTGAGCGGGAAGGACCACCAAGGGCCATCAGCGGCGATCGATGGATGTATCTTACACTATCACCTGGCCAAGAACGGGGAACGCAAACTGTAAAACGACCAAGGGAGCTCTGTAAGTCGATGGGGAGACCGTTGTGTCGCATCCCGCCTGATGGGTCCCCCGGGGAAGAAGGGTCAGGGCCGGGGAGGCGAAGCAATGAAACCGGGGGGTAAGCAAGCTGTTGGAAAAGTGAATTGAAGATGGATGGGAAAGAAGGGGTGCGATCTGCGTGCCGCATAGAATCCCGTCGGACTGCGCCGCGTGCCCCCCTTGACAACTCATGTCAAAGGCGAGGCAAAGAGCCGGTGAATAGTGCGATGTAGACTTACAGTATCCGGTGATTGGTAGGGTTACATAGACAAGTATGCGATGAGGTTGCTGGTGGGACTGGCGAGGTCGTGTTGAAGAATGACAAGCAAACCGGGGCACATGGCAGACAGGCCAAAAGGCCCCATCTTGGCTTGTGCTCTGTTTTGCGATTTTCTCCAGTTCTATCGCCCACATAGCGGCGTCCGATTGATTCATTGTCGCCAGAAATGGAGTTCCTTATGCTTTGCTATCAGTACGGGTAAGGCAAACTCCAGGGCGCGACCAGACAGGCCGGTGCTGGGAATAAAGCCCATGAGCACAGGGAAGCAAGGATGCGAAAAGAGCGGAATTCTGGAAGAACGTTAGAGTCCGGTAGAAGGTGGTTTCGAATCTTGGCTGACTAGAGAGTGAATAAGCAGAGCTGTGTGGCAGAACAAGGTTTGAAATGCCCACGGTTGCGGTGGTTTGGATGTTCTATCTTGGGGACATTATCCCACTGTATCGACTTGAAGTGGTGGGATCCCAAGCAGATTGGAGGACGCAGTGGAAGAAGGGGGCTCGTCCCGGCACGCGACTCACTGGGTTTACCCGGGCAGAATTGGAACGTGCTTCTGTCTGTGACGAGGGCGCCGTGCCAACTTCGGACTCGGGATCCTGAATCATTGTTTCGAGGTGTGAGAGCTAGTTTCGTGTCGGGGTGGATCGTGAACAGGATGACCAACGATGCTATAGCCGGCCTGTCGTAGTTGGATATTCTGCCTTCAATTTCGCTAGTTATCAACGGGGTCGCGAAAGAAACCACCGGCCCTTGTGTAGTGTCGGCCAAGATGCCTAGAGGAGGAATGGAGCAGGCTAGGACTGACGGCAGGATGCCGACGGAAGCGGCATATAATCCAGCAAAACCAGCCGTTTCCTCTTTTTCTCCCCCTGAGGCGAGTGGCAATATGTGACCCTGGACACCGGCGTCGGCGGGGAGGCCGTGCCGGGCGGCATGGACCCGTTTAGCTTCCGCGCCGAACGGGGTTTGTGGTCTGAGCTGTGCCAACTTGGAGTCTTGGACTTACAAACAGACGGACAGATGTATCCTTACGTTGTGCGTGTAAGTGCTAGTCAAGCGCCGCGCGCGCTAAACCTTATCTTGGCGGGGGATGCTGGGTGTTGTTCTAGTCACACGAGAGAGGAGGCGTGATGATCAGCTTGCCAGACTCGACATTGTAATCGTGGTAGAGAAACGAGGTTGGCGTTGGTTTTTCTACGGTGGTGTCGTGAGGACAAAGGTCGAATGCCGGCGGGTTGGGAGCTTATCCACTCTGGTAGATCCGGGGAGCGATTGTCCTCTGATACATGCATGCAGCTAGATGCTTGGAGGCGGTTCGTAATGCGAAGAACGACAGGACGCGGAGTGGCGGAGTGTGGGAGGTTGGTTTGAGTCAAGGTGCACTCGAGGCTTGATGTTATGACTGCTGGGGGTTTTGATATCGACGGGGAGCGGGATGCAATCCTGAGGGATGTTGGATGACGGTCAATCATCAAGGGTCTTGGGGCTCGGGCCGGTTCGCTGGTATGAGCTTTACTATCGATCTCTGAGGCAATTATAAGAATGGAATAAGAAATCTGTCTTTTCGTACGTTAAAGGTTCGTGGTGAAAATAAGTTCGACGTCGGGTTGGCGTTGCATTGATAAAGCGCCTCTCAGGTGATGGAGGTCAAACGGAGGAAACAACGTTGGTTTGATTGGGAGAAGGGAAGAGGACAGTGCCGATTGCTAGAAACGCAACGCTGATGTATAATTGGCGAGGTAGGTAAGGGTAGGTATCTTGTGCCTTGAAGTTTCCTGAAATTCAACCTTTCTCGCCACGGAACGGAGCCGCGGCATCAAGTGCGTTCCCCGATGGCAAGAGCCGGAATCAGCTTCGGTCACCACGGTCACCGGTGCGGCAGTACGGTCCTCCCGCAGCTCCGGGCCCCGGTGAGCTGCCGGTGATGGATCGGGTTAGAGCACCCTCATTCGTGGAGCAGTGGATCCACCTTCGGTCCCAGAAAGGGCCTAGCGGCTCAGCTGGGCCGAAGGAGCGGAGACCAGGACCAACTCATCCAGCAGCACAGCGTGCCCACAAGAAAGTACCTTACAGGTTGACGGGTCTGCGCGGGATGGCTGCGGCGCCGCTGCTTACTGGTCCCTCCGCTCATCTGCTGTCATGGGGGTTGAGTGTGTGACAGCGCTGTTCTCCCCCCTCGTATTAATCTTGTTGGCTGCCCATTTCGCACCGTCTCTCCTTCGTTCCCGCTCTTTTGCATGACTTTCCCGAGCGGTAAAGAACGGTGAGAAAAGGTTAACTCGTGAGATTGAGCAACATCTATTCGAGTCCGGCCGACGACAATTCGAATCGCGACTCCGATGAGTGTTGAAAGGGAGAAGAGACGAGACAAGGCCTAGCATTTTTTTCGCTTGTCCGGAGAGTGACCCCCGCGCCAGTTGCAGAATTGGAAGTAAGCAGACACAGCCCCCCCGGATTACTGGCCATTCGACTTTGTGAGGAAACAAGGACCTGTTGTTCTGTTTTCTCAACAGAACCACAAGGGGCTACGGAATCATCGAATCGAACTCACCGAGCGGATTGAAAGCGCCGGGCGACTCAACGGTTCGCCACTTATAGGTCCTGCCTACTCACAGAAACTACAATGGCTTCTGTTTCCTCAAGGGGCCCGACGCCTCATTCGCCTTACGATCAGCAGTCCGCGGCCGACACCGAAGAATCATGGCAGTATCTCGACTACGCCTCGTATCCGGCCTCAGTCGGCTTCCTACCTAGCCCGGCCAGCGGCAGTCTCAACGGCTTCGCCGTCGTCGGCCACCATGCCGGCTCGGACCCGGCGGGCCTATCCCCGCTAAACCTCGACCTCGACCAGCCCGCCTTCTCCGCCTCGAGCTTCCCCGACCAAGCGGAGGCGTTTGCTGCCCCGGCGCCGTCTGTTGATAGCCAGTTCGTTCCCAGCGGCCAGGAATCCAATTTTTTGACACCACAGGGCTTCCTCTTTGCAGAGGAGCAGCTGAACCTGAATGGTGAGTCCTCATTCCGCCCGTGGCCGACTTTCAAGTATACGTGAGCTAACTGTCTTTGTTCTCAGAACTGACATCTTTCGTCAACTCATTCCAATCGAACAATGCCTCCCTGACCGGCTTAGACACATTCCCGCAACAACAGCACGATGGCGATATCGACCTGTCACAGACCTTTTCTCATAGCATCAACCCGGCCCCATGGAACCCCACGAACCTCAAGGTCGACAATGGCAGCTCAACGTTCTTGATGGAGGACTTTTCCGCAACCTCGTCTCAGAGCTCCACATCCACAAGCCCCTCCCAGTCCAACTCCAGCTCCCCGGACCTCAAACATGAGGGAGACAGGGCAGCATCAGCCAGCCAGATCCGCAAGGTTATCACCGGCAAGGTCGAGAAGAAGAAGGCTACCGAACCCGCGAACAAATTCGTCATCGTGACGCCCAACTCCATCAACGCCTCATCGGGTCGCCCCAACCCGTGGGAGTGCTTCGAAGCCATGAAAATTCAAACGCGTGGTCGCAAGGGGCCTCTGGCAAATGCGACAAAGGAGAGCGCATTGCAAGTTCGCCGTCTGGGTGCCTGCTTTTGCTGCCACAGCCGCAAAGTCAAGTGCGACTCGCAAAGGCCGTGCAAGAGCTGTAAAAAGCTTGCCGGCCAGGTGCCGCAGGTCGTCTGCTGGCAATTCTCCGACTTTTTGACCGTGTTGTTCCCCGACTTCATGCGCAGCCACTTCCGCAAGGATCAAATGTCGAAATTCATGGAGGAGAATGTCGACCTTGACGCGGTGCAACTAGCGCCTCGGGAGGTAGAGCTCTTTTCCGGTCTCTCGGCGTCGCTCAAGGTTCGAGCGAGGTTCTTCAAGCCTCGAACGGAGGAAGTACAGCAGCACTACCATCTGCATGTGCAAAAAGACCGGATAGACCTGCAAGCCAGAGGCTCGGCACCTATGGTGTTGGAGTTGGATTCGGCAGCTCAAAGGGAGGCCTTGAGGAAGAAGGTGAAGGAGTACCTCGCTGCTATCGCAGCCGAACCGAGGTTCGCAAAATCAGTGACAGAGTCAATACGGCACACCGAGTTGCCAAAGAAGGTCTTGGACGTTGTGCAGATATACGCCAATAAGTCTGATGTAAGTTGCCATGCTACTGACTGTCTTGCGTAAGAGCATTGGTTGACCCGACCCAGTCGTCAATGGTGAAGAAGGCATTGGCGATCTACGGCGCCCACTTCGTCATGACCCGCCACCTCTGCATCACACGGCAGAGTGTCGTGGGCCTCCAGGATTCTGGTCTCGTCCCTCAGGAAGTACCATGGGTGACCCCACGTGTCGTCAACAGGCAGATCAAGGCGGTAATTGACGAGCTCCTGATGAGGGACATGCAGCATCTCTTTGAGTCCTTCTCAAAGTTGCTCAAGCCTAAGTCAAAACAGGAGTGGGCGCCGTGTATGGCCTCGTTCCTGGTACTGTGCCTCTTTATGGAATCGGTCGAGACATCCGCAGATAACTTTGTGGTGGCTCTCAACGAGATTAGCCTGCGTAACCACACGCCACCGGAATACAAACGGCAGGACGCCCTGAATATTAACGCAGCGGTCGAAAACATGCCGTTCAAGCAGTTCGCGTACCAGTTCCACCAGATCTACCAGACCCACAGCCGGGATACGGCGAACAAGCCCTTCAATCCCATGCTCGACAACTCATGGGCCCAGCAAGGCGACTTGGACGGACCAGCCATAGAGATGGTCTTGGGCCTGAGGAATTTGATCCATCAGAACGGTAGGCTGACCCGACAATCCAATGATTAAACCGTCAATGCTGACTTGTGGTGTATAGGCAAGGAACTCGAAGGATTGGCGGATGACCCAATCCTATCGACCGACCACGAGCAGCACCCGTTCCCGCGAGATGTGGCGGCCAACTATACGGGTCGCCTGGTGTCCAAGTTCTTGTTGTCTTTCATGGACGAGAAGCACATCTTTGGCGAGCACTGGATTTGACGGAAGTTTAATGACTCGAGGGATGGAGTGGAATTGCAATTCTTGCGCAGAGGATGTCGGAATACCCTTCATATATATCTGATGGCAGGTACAACTCGGTGACATGGGTTTAGGAATAATGACTCTCTACTATAATGACACCAATCAAGGTAAATTAAGAACGCACCACGTGCAACTCGTGTGAGATGCCTTGTGATATGTTCGTCCGATTTTAGTCCTGAAGCCGCACTATCTCGACGGTATCAGGGTGGAGCGGACCGGTTGTCTAGACCGTTGGTTTTGTTCTCCCACTCGAACGAATAAAAAAGTAGTTGACACTCTTGCGCAGTAAGATCGCGAGGTGTAGGCATATCGTGGGGTTGGTCCAAAGACCTTATGTGCTGGGAGCACACATCAAAACGAGCTCGCGGGCTTGTCCGTGTCGGTTGGCTTCAGCACTTGCTCAAAGCCATGGACGACGGTTTGGTTCAATACCGAGACGCAGTCTGCCGTGCGATATCACACGGCAGTCTAACGCCATCCTGGAATCTGAAAAGGACCATGCATAAGATCCGTAGCCCAAGCTGGGATGGGTGGCCCGCGAACTGTTGTTGATGCTGATGAGGAACACAAGAGAGGAGAGGGAAGGGGAACGCGTGAAAATATACTTTGCGAGAAAAACCAGGTCGAAAAATTGTGGAGACGCCGTCTTTCTCCTAGGTCACGAGGTTTGACGACGTGCTAGCCCTGATTGGCTCAAGCTTAGGCAGCACATGTCATTAGCTAAGCAGGGCAGCCTGTAGGCAACGACACCTCTTTATTTGTCTGGCGGACCACAATTCCCCTCTCTTTCGAACCCTTTTTCCTCTT